TAATGTTCAATGAAGCTGATTATAATGCGGTGTTGAAGAGGGCTGTAAAGACTTGCAAGACCGGGATCTCATAAGGAAATGACGATCAAAGAATGGATGAGTTACAATCTCCATGATGATATTACCCGAAACATATCGCCTCCTAGAACTCCAGACCTGAATCCGTTGGTCTACAATGTATGGGAATCGAGAGAGAAATCAACGAACCGAAAGAAATAAAGAACATCTGATTTGTATTGAATCAATTATCGATGCTAACGGCGGATTTATTAAGAAGTTATGAATTCTATGGTAATTTATGCTAAATATAAAACACTTTCCAACTGATGTATTATGTTGGTGCAAAAATAATGACGTAATAATGTCGTTTTTTGACGTTAAAAAATACATCAAAAAACGACATTATTACGTCATTATTTTTGCACCAACCTAATAATACCATGAAACACCCCTACATTTATGTGAAAGGTGCGGAAGATTATCAATAAAACCCCAGAAACCCAGTTAATACCATTGTGGGAATTTTCCAGAAAATTATCGATAAGAATATCCAAAAGGCAATAAACCTCGTTCCTAACGAACCCAAGTGTTTAAGGGATTCTATCGGAAGAAGTGCGTATGAAGACTTTCGATACAAGACATATGTGATGGAGAGGAACCACTTCTTGTCTGAAAATAAAAAAAGATAACCAATGAATCTGATGGTTCTAACAGTAGTTAGCAACGATGGAGGTCATGGCTCCTCACATCTTTCCTAAAGATTTAAGGGTCAATGTTGCTGATTATAAAGCGATGTTGAAGAGGGTTGTGAGGACCGCGATCTCATAAGGATATGACGACCCTAGAATGGATGAGTTACAATCTCCATGATGATATCGTCCCAAACATATGGCCTCATAGATCTGAAGACTGGAATCCGTTGGACTAGTATGCATGGGGCGGAGTCGAGTGGGAAATCAACGACCATAAGAAATAAAGATCATTTGATTCTTATTGAACCAGTCATCGAAGCTAACGTCGGATTTATTAAGGAATGATAATTTATGGTAAACATAAAACACCTTCCAATTGACCTAATACCAGGAAAAAAACCCTACATTCATGTGAAAGGAGCGAAAGATTATAGATAAGAACCCAGAAAACCAATTAATGCCATTGATAAGGTGATAAATTTTCAAGATAGAATTTCGGAAGCATTGTGCCTAAGGACCTTCAAATCGTGTCATGTAGGATGCGCAGAGGACAATTCTTGTACGCAAAGAAAAAGAATAACCGTCTAATGCGAGAAAAGCGTGTTTTCTGTAAGTTGAAATATAAAGAGCCTGGAATGCCTTGTTTTTCTCTGATGAGAAACAAATTAATAAGGACGAAATGGTTATCCGAAGGGATGACAGATGTTTATAGAGAGGAGCTAAGAATGTTCCAACGGCCATGTACACAAAGTTTCTGGCATCTCTGTTGGTAAAAAATTTTCCCGTCAAAAAGCTATTTCTAGTAATATTTTTTCCTCAATTTTTTTTTTCAAAAAGTATAGCTGGTAATATTTTTTTTTTAGAAAATGTATTGCTGGTAATAATTATTTTTTTACAAAGTACTTTTATTAAAACCTATTTTTACACTTTCATAGTGTTTTGACGCCAATTTGAGATTTAACTATTTGCCCATAGCTGGGACCCTAACATGTGCTGCCACCCCAGGTCAGGATGGACCGGCGAACACCAGCAATTAAAAGGTGGATCCACGCTCATCAAAGCTTCCTGATCAGAGGCCTTGCTGTTGGACGTATCGTCTTAGCCAGGACGCGGATGTAGTTGATCGTCTTACCCAGAACGGAATTTTTTAAGTAGATGCATCAAAAAGAGTTTCATGATTATTAATGCCAATTGTTTCTCAAATAAAACTCGTCTTCCTGACTTACATCTTGAACTGAGAATCCCTGTATATAGTACGTTTTATTTTGAAAGTGCCGACAGAATGTAGGCTATTATAAATGCTTTTTATTTAGTGTCTATGAATTGACATGGGTTCTTGGGGCAAAGAAAGGGCAGTTGTTTCCCGTTTACTTTTCCGTGATTTTTGAGTTCAGGTATCTCTTTTTTCTAGAATATTTCCCATCCATCGGATTAGAACTGACAGTTATAAATATCTGTTAAAATGAGGTGTTATTTTCATTTTTTATCATTTAGACGATAATTTTTCCTCCATTGCACGCTGTATATCACGACGGGCTCTGCTCGATCCGGGGTCCTTAGCACGCTGGTCAGTAATGACGCCAGCGAACTAATGGTTATCTGCTGACCACTTGGTCCTTCATCTTTACTGCCCCACGTTGAGTTCTTTGATCACGAAGCAGTGACGATCGAATTTTCGTTCGTATTTAAGTGCTGAATCAAGCTGTGGCGGAATCGTTCTACGAAAACTGCACTTAAGAACTCATTAATTATTCATCAATTAATTATTATCCTCCAACGCTGGAGATACCACACCGACTCTCAACGAAGCGGTCAGCTATTAATCAAGAATACATTTCTTGACAAACAAGTATTGTTTAACATTCTTTTCAGTAATTGGCTGCTTATCCAAAACAATAATTTTTCGTTAACAAACTGTTGGTTTAAAAGTTGTCTTTATTTTCGCTAACGTGAAAGAATTCACTTTTGTTGACGAATTTCAAAATGACCGATTTAAAATCTCATTGTTTACATTTTGGCTTTACGAATAATAACTCAATTCGTTTCTCGGCCGAGAGACAACACCGCGAGAACCGACTCTGATCTTCAAACAAAAGTGGTCAGTTATTCAAAATATTTTTACCGTTAACAACTAAAAATAAAAAAAATATTTCGGCTGTCAAAGAATTTTCTTTGTGGTCGACTTTTCCTTATGACCAATATAATTTTCTGCACATTCCGGAGCGTTTACATTCCCGGCCTTGCAATTCTTTCGGCTTACATTTTACATTTCTCAAATGTCAGTTTGCTTACATCCATAAAGTGTTCAGTTCGACATTCCAACTACCTGAAGAAGGCCGGAGCGTACAACGGCCGAAACGTTGTGATAAATATGTCAAAAGAGATGAGGATGATAATCCGAACAAAGTAAATAGTCTATCACTAGTGTTGCAAACAATAATTCTAATTGCCTGGATTTTAGAAAGAAAAAAAAATGCACCGTTCTTTTTTTCGCATCATATTTCAATACATGCTTTCATCTTAACGTTTTTAACCCTTCCAATTCTTTAATTCATATACGCGGTTTTCACATGAACCCTTTTACTCATTTCTTACTACCAGTATCATAATAGTGTCACACCTGTATATCTCTTGAAATAAGACGTCAGTGTTATTCTCATTTTTACGTTATTCAGACGACAATTTGTCCATCGCACCCTGTATATCTGTCAAAATGAGATGTCAGTGTTATTTTCATGTTTGCGTCATTTAGACGATAATTTATCAATTGCACACTGTATATCTGTTAAAATGAGGTCAGTGTTACTTTCCTTTTTTGCACCATTCAGACGACAATCGCACCCTTAATATCTATTAAAATGAGATGCCAAAAATTATTTATTTTTAATGGATACTCGGCATTTTTTATTATTTCTCGAATATTCACTCCTGCGTGAGTGCTTCATTGTCCACTACATTCAAGTCAAGTGTCAATCAATATCTGTCTTCCTTATACTCATAATCTCCATTCGCGAGCACCATTCCTTCCTATTGCACACCTCGTTCTTGATCTATTTCTTAATATTTAAACTCTATCTTGAGTTACTCTTGAGCCTAGTTCTGATTGAATTCTAGTATATAAACGAAAGAAGAAAAAAAAACACATTATTTCACATCCCACGTGATTTAATGACGTGTTTATCCGAGCATTACTGACGACAATAAAGGTGTCGCCCTTCGTTCGGCCACCGATTCGTAATGTCTCTTAATGAAAGGCTTTCTTGCATGGATCATATTTCAAATGGAAGGTGTTGCGACGTGGGAGACCACACTGCGCCAAGACCACACAAGTTATCATCATCTGTTATTCGCGTTATTACGTTTCACAGCTGCATTCGCTCACCCGTCATCCATTGTTCGCGAGGCGACTTTCTGTATTTTGATGTATAATATTGTTAATATCAGAAAGGCCCGTGAAAAAAAAGGTTTAATGGCCGCAGTGTACACTCATTAGGTGAGCAGGATATAAATGATTCTCGCTTGCTTCGTCTGTTCATCTATCTATCTATCTATATTTTTGTTCATATCTATCTATCTATCTATCTATCTATCTATCTATCTATATTTTTGTTCATATCTATCTATCTATCTATCTATCTATCAATCTATCTATCTTCGTATGTTTATATGTATCTAGCAAGCTACTTATCTAGCTATTCTATATCGCTTTTATTTATTTTCGTTTTCATGCTATCTATCTATTTATATTTCTATCTATCTTCGTCTGTTCATATGTCTTCGTCTGTTCATATCTATAGATCTATATATCTGTCTTCGGCTGTTCATTATCTATCTATCTATCTATCTATATATATATATATATATATATATATATATATATATATATATATATATATATAAAATGCCGTAAGAATTTTAGCCGTTAACAATATAATTTTGAAAAAATCCAGACGACACGCTTTTAACGGATGTTAGATTTCATTGAAAAATACATCCCTACCCACTACCAAAACGTAACAATAACTGATACTGATTAAAATATAGACATATTGAACACCCAAGCACCCCTGTCTAGAAAAATAGATTTATCTGTAACCTTGGAAACATCAATTTTGTTTTAGCTGTGTATTTAAAACCCAGTAATTTTAAAAATTACTCCAAAATTCGCTTGAGGATGAAATGGAACTAATGTCTTTAATTTAATTACAAAATTAAATTCGGGGCGTTTAGCTTCCATTTTTGAAACATGATTAGAACTGTGGAGCGGAAAAAACATATTTTAAATCAATTAATTTATAATATATATATATGTTGGTAATATCTACCTCATTCTGTTCATTATCTATCTATCTATCTATCTATCTATGTTCATATCTATCTTCGTCTGTTCATATCTATCTATCTATCTATCTATCTATCTCGTTCTGTTCATTATCTATCTATCCATTTATCTCTCTATCTATCTATGTTCATATCTATCTATCTATCTATCTATCTTCGTATGTTTATATCTATCTAGCCAGATAGTTATCTAGCTAGCTAGCTGTCTCTGTTTTTTTCTTTGATCATATCTGTTTATCTATCTCTCTAGTCTTACTAATTAACCAATAGCTGGGGAATGAGGAGGTGGATTCGTACCTTCTCCAAAAGTATTTCCGCGTAAGTGAATATAACGAACCCTACTGGAAGTGGAACTCGACCCTCCGATTAACAATTCATTACACCAACCGCGCATCCACGCCTACATCATCTGGTATTCGCAAATGGTCACCTATCTATGTACTGACCAGACACAATGGAGATTCTACTGGAACCAATGTTTCAACGTGTTATGGACATAAGCCATTGGAAAGATAGCAACTGATATATTGGAGAATATTATATATATATATATATTAAGAAATGGACAAGGTCCGACAATTTATTTATTAAAGACATATTTTTTATGTTTAACGTTGTTATTTTATAGATACAAGTATTTAAGCAAATGCTCTGTTTATGATAAACAGTATTAAATAACATTTACCGGCCTGAATGTCCGAGAAATTTTCATAGAAAATTTTCGTTCTTTGACAGGATTCGAACCTGCATCCTATACGGAACCGTCATATACGCTGACGTGCCTTTACCGCTTGAGCTACAAAGAACCAATCGGTAGACAAATCGATACGCCAGAGCAGTTATGAATGTACGAGATTCATGGAAAATTGGAGTTTATAAGCAGTAAATTCGACCTTGTCTACCGATTGGTTCTTTGTAGCTCAAGCGGTAAAGACACGTCAGCGTATATGACGGTTCCGTATAGGATGCAGGTTCGAATCCTGTCAAAGAACGAATATTTTCTATGAAAATTCAGGCCGGTAAATGTTATTTAATACTGTTTATCATAAACAGAGCATTTGCTTAAATACTTGTATCTATAAAATAACAACGTTAAACATAAAAAATATGTCTTTAATAAAAAAAAAAATATATATATATATATATATATATATATATATATAAACAAATTTTGGCAACTGAATAACAAAGTAGAACAAATATGTATTATGCCTTCCATCCTCTACAAGGACAGTAGTGTTCGATTGGAATGGTATATCCAAAAAATAAACATGGCTGTATTTATGCAATTATTTTATAATTAGGTACATAACCAGCTTCTTCGACATCCGAGGAAAGGAGTCCATTTCAGTCAGTTATGTGCCATACATTTATCACGTATGCCAAATACGAAAGATATATGATCGCTTAGGCGATCATGTATTGATTGACGCATCAGAGTTTTCCCACAGTAGGTTGTCATTTCTTTCTGTGGTAGACCAGTTGCCATCTAATTGAGGCGGGGGAGAATAAGAGGATTCAGACCTTTCCTAAAGCCATTAGCACGTAAGTGAATGTAATGTTATTTGTCTGGAATTCGAACTCGGCTCTCGGATTCCTAAGTCCTCGCTGCTTATCCACTTACTCAGTGCAGTCCATCTCCGGGTTTTAAAACCAGATTTTAAACATCCGATGGCCAAATCCAAACACGGAAAAGGCTATGGAAGTGAAACGAGACAGAAATCACGAATGTCATTGGTGCAAACAAGTTGTCCCCAAATGTAATACGGCCGTAAGCGGATGGCATGTAGCCTAGGCATCGCCCAGGCCTGCTCTCTGCAGAGGTCACTCTAGTCTCATCCCCAGTTTTGATTAAAGAGAGCGCTAGCTTTATCTCGAGTGATAAACGTATGTCTACATTAACAGCTAAATATGTAGTAAGACTTAAATTTTTAATTCATAAAATGTAAGTTATTTCCCCCTCCCCCCACTAACCTATTTGATCTTTTTTCGGTTTTTCTGTGCATTTTTTTGATAACACTTTTATTAAATACAAGACAACCCATGACCCGCTGGGTCACAGACTGTTCTGGTTATAAAGCATTTAAGTTGATGTTAACATTAAAAAAATTGCCCATTTGAAAAATGTTGAAATAAAAATACTTAAACAACACATTTTAAAATCATATTCATGTAGAAAAAATTTTACTATGCCAAAAAATGTTTTAAAATCATATTCACTTCAAAAATTTTTTTACATATTACAAAAATATTTTTTAAATATTTAAACTATTGTTTATTTAAAGAAAGCCGAAATATAAATAATTACTCCACAGACAACTGGACGAAACAGCAAAGCGGGATCTCTTTGTGTCTGTCTTTAACTTAAAAATATTTTAATATTTAATTTTAATTGTCTGTTTGAAGAATATTAAAATAAAAATACTTATTGTATAAACAACTCATATTTTTAAATCTTATTCATTTAAATCAGATTAACTTAAATCATTAGGAACCGGACGGACCCACCACGCAAGCTCTCACACAATCACAGACTTTTTAGTATTATATAGTTACTATATTGTGATAACAAAATATCCGCCAAGTACGTGGACGCCAAATTACCGGAGATGATCTAGCAATCAAAGCGCTTCTAAAACTTTCTTGTTGTTTAATCCCATTATTATATTATTTCAAACATAGCCCAATTAATAAAACTGAATTTATAAGTAACAATTTTTCATATTATAATTCTGTTAGTTCCTTAATTAAATTAAATGAACGACAACACATTGTATCTGTAGTTGAAGGTTTAAGCTATAAACTATAATTACGTTTAAACTATATTTAGTTGAACCTATATAACTGTGTTCACAATATTTAGATTTCGGCATTAAATAACGTTTGATATGCTACTAAACAAAATCACCCAACATGTACCTTGATATAGATTATATATATATATATAAATATAGTTCTCTTTTGGTAGCAATCACTCTTTTATACATGTTTCGTTAAATAAGACTGTCACGGTACTTTACTTTGTATTAATATGCTTTTCTTTTATACGTACAAATGTCTTCTTTTCTTGACTTAAGCCATACAGAAATTGTGAAAACAGGCGCGTGGACACACACACACACACACACACACACACTATGAAACAAATTGCACCATTGATAAGAGCATATCAAAAAGAAAAAAAAGGTATTAGCAGTCAATTGGTGAAAATTCTTCACTAGTGGACGGACTGTTCCGTTTGGCTTGGTTTGTTTTGTTTTACGGCATATCAACCTCAATGGGTTATTTAATGCCGACAATTTTTTTTTTCCTGGTAATATTTTGTCTTGTCAAAAATCTATTTCTGGTAATATTTTTTTCTCAAAAATGTATAGGTGGTAATATTATTTTTAAAAATATATTGCTGGTAATATTTTTTGTTTCAAAAACGTATTACTGGTAATATTTTTTTTTCAAAAATATATTGCTTGTAATAGTTTTTTGTCTTCAAAAATTTATTTCTGGTAATAATTTTTACAAAGTATTTCTGGTATTGAAACCTATCTTTACACTTTCATAATGTTTTACCTCAGTTTCGGGGGTTAATTATTTGCCCTTAGCTGGGATCCTAACAGGTGCTACCACCACGGGTCAGGGTGGACCTGGGAACACCCCCAATTAAGAGGTGGTTTCACGCTCCTCAAAACATCCTGATAAGAGGCCTTGTGTTGAACGTAGTTTATCGTCTTAACTGGACGCGGATGTAGTTTATCGTCATACCCAGAACGGTGACTGTTCCGTCTACCAAACTCTGGAATCGGGATGTCGATTGAAACAACAATTAACAAAGTAGCAAAACATTTACAGATATTAATTCTATAATATATACTACGACGATGCTAACAAAAAAGATAACATTCCATTTGAATGAGCAGAGTTTAATTTCACAGCATTTACAAGAACACTAAGTAAAAAAAAAACATCTGAATCAACTCTAAGAAACATCGAAAATTCAAATTAGAAGGCAAAAACAAAAACAATTCAAACAAAAACAACCGAAAAAGAAAAAAGAAATATAATTTGCTTCCCCCACAACTATACAATAAAAGCAAAATTAGGGAAAGTATTCTTCAAAATAAAAAAAAACAGTAAATTAAAAAAAAATTCAACAAAAATACAATGAAAATTAGTTACAGCTGCATTGATAACATAGAGAAAATAATAACTAAGCACAATAAAAATACTTAACAAAAATAAAAGCAATTACAACAACAATAACATGTAGCAAAATAAAACCATTAAATGTAACTGAACAAACAAAGAAAATGATCCACTTAACAATAAATGCTTAACCAATAACATAATATACAAAGGCAGCGTAAATAATAACATTAAAACAGACCAAAAGATTTATATAGGGGCCACTGAAAAATTTAAAGATATTATAACCACAATAAGTCATTCGAAAACAATACACAAATCCTATGAAAAAATACATATGGAACTAAAAAGGAAACCATTTTCCTATAAAAACCAAATGGGAAATTATAAAAAGAGCAGCCCTATAAAGTATTAACAGCAAAAATTGTAAATTATGTTTACAGGAAAAAATAGCAATAAGTAGTTTTAGAAAAAATGAAACTCTTAAACAATAAAAGAAAATAATGGCTAAATGTAGATATATAAATATTTGTTTGTACTAACTAATGAATTAAACAAAAATATAAATAAAAGATAATACAAACTTTAAATAAATAAATAAAAGAATCACATGTAATATAAACTTAATCTATTAATAAACAAATAATCAAACTGATATTCGTGTACGCACGTATGCGCATGTTTATATGTACATGTGGACATGTACGCACAAAAATACATAAACAAACACCAAAAAACGAACAAAACTAACCCCCATAATTAATACCTCAATATATAACACCAAGGCAAAAAAAAACTACTAACCAGCGAAGAGGTGATTCGAGGTGAGAGGCAGCGACGAGGGGATTCTGTGTTTGAAGATATTACATATGCAAAGGCCAGGGTACTGTATGTGGATCTTATCAGAAAAATACCACGCACGTCTAGATTTATATTTGGGTAATATTCAATGGTGGCACTCTCTAGAATTTTCCTTCTGATTGAGTTATTTTCTTTTTTTTTTTATTAGTGTAGCATTTTTA